TTTATCGAAGAGTTGGGTTTAAAATAAAATGAGTATTTGATGAATTGTGATAATCAAAATGTTTATAGATTTAAGTAAGAATACTACATATCATTGTCTACTAAGCATATTGATGTGAGATACTATTGGATACAAGAGGTGGTGAATAGTAAATATATACTATTGAAAAATATTTACACTGATAAAAATGCAGCTGATATGTTGACTAAGGTAGTGACTCGTGACAAGCATCAGTCTTGCACTAAGAAACTGAAACTGATTAAAAATTGAGTAATGTATGGTGGACATCTCCCCGTGGGCTGGAAGAGTAGATTGTTGGTTATGTATCCAGCTCAAAAATAATAAATCAATAATTTTTTTTAAAAAAAAGGAATTAGGGATGCAGTTTTTAGAGGTATATATATATATATATATGTATGTTGCGCAAAAAAAAAAACAAAGTTTAGAGAGAAAGAGAGAGAGGTTGTGTAGCAAGAAGACAAAAGGAAGAATAAGAGAGCTACATATATATACAAGTTGAGTGGCTGCCGATAGATGAAAAAATAAATGGTTTTCATTCTCTTTTCTTGGTGACATCATCCTCGACATCAGCAATTTCGTTTACCTCTTTTTTCTAGTTCTGCACAAAAGAAAAAATTATCTTTTTTGTTCTGAATTTAATTTTTGATGGATTCCTTTATATTTATTTTTATTAATAATGAATTTAATTTAAAATTTGATCCGTAATTTTTTTCTTCACACTGAAGGATTTTTCACGTAAAATCCTGTGTTTATTTAATTTAGAATTATACTTGTTAATTTCTAATAATTAATTGAGAATTGATTTAATTTATACAATTAATTTTATTTATGTTTGGAACCCAACACTTATAAAGGAATGTGAAGAGGAAACAGGGATTCCGAGATCCATAGCTTTTGAGTAAGCTTTTCACCTTAGCTGTTGGATCATTGATTTTTTTATTTTTTTGTTTACCTAAGCTGCAAGTTTTCAATTTGCTTGAAAGTTTTTCAAATTCGCACACTGTTCGCATCAGCTCCATTCCCCTGACACTCATGTCCGTGGGTCTATTTACTTTTAATATATAAGATAGTACATATACATTGAGACGTCAGCCACTTCATTAGTTATCAAGATGGCATCTGTGATTTGCCCACCTTCGAAGAAGGCGTGTTGGCATTCTCTGATAATAGAATTTAACACCTTGGAGAGCCTTCTAGCCATGGAGAGCCTTCTAGCCAAACTTCATATAACAGTTTATAAACACAGCCCACTAAACGTATGGATCTAAAATCAGTAAAGCAATTGACCCCTTCTTTTTTGGGGATCAAGACAAGAAATGTGGAATTGATCAATTTAACAAATGATCTGTTCTTGTGAAAATCCTTAAAGAAATCAAGCACATCTTTTTTTTTATCACATACCAAAATTCTTGAAAGAATTTTAAATTGAAACCGTCGGGCCTCGGAGCTTTGTCCCCATCACACTTTTTTAGACAATCAAAAATTTTTTCTCCAGAAAGTTCAGCTTCAAGAATTGATCTATCAGCCTCCTCTATTTTGTTGAAATGCATATTGTCAAGAATAGGTCTTTGCTCAAATGCTTCTTGATATAATATTTTGAAATGTTTTTTTGCAGTTTCCCTCTTGGCCTCCTTTCCACTGATCGGACAGCTATTGACATAAAATTCCTCCACAAAATTGATCCATCTTCTATGGTTCGTCAAACAGTGAAAGAATTTTGTATTTTTATCCCCATCTTTAATCCACTTTTCTTGGGCTTTCTGCTTTCAAGAAATTGCTTCCATGTGAAGTCTGTTTGCAAGTTCCACTCTCGGATTATTTATTTTTCTCACTGTTCTCTGCATACAGATCAGCGTCATTTGTCATTTTTTCCAGATCACCCAACTCGTTTAACAGTTTATTGGTTCGGTTATCTTCCTTCATCCCCACTTCCTTAGTCCACTATTTTCTTTCCTGCTTGAGACGGATAAGCTTTTTGGAGAGCCTGTAACTTGTGGTGCCATTCTCAATCGGTTGATTCCAAACATCACTGACCATGGATTGAAAGCTGTTCACTAATAGCCACTTGTTGTCAAGTCGAAACGGTATAGGCCCCATCTGAAGTTAAGCATATAGGAAAATGATCGGAGTTAGGGCAAGGGAGTACCGTTTGGCTACCCAAGAGAGACAAAAAAAGCTCAAGGGAGTACCGTTTGGCTGAGACCCAGGAGAGACAAAAAAAAGCTCGGTGGAGACCAAGAATATATCAATTCTGGAAAAAGAAGGCTGATCCCTTTGATTGCTCCAGGTCCATTTCCCACCTTTAAGTGGAATGTCTTCCAAGCCAAGCTATCAATATTATCTTTGAAATTCTGAACCATTGAAACAGAAAACTTATCACCCGACCGCTCATTAACGTGCAGACCATGTTGAAGTTACTACCTGCCACCCCATTAACCCCCCCCATCTATTCTGGCATTGGATAATTTACTCCACATTTTTCTCTATCGATACATTACCCCGACAATAATACCAGAAAAGACCATTTATATTGTTTCTTTAATGACAATAGACATGAAA